CAATAAATTGATTTAAAAAAAAATTATTCCTTTTGATAGTCTGATACAATTCCTAGATTTCCTTCTAAAATTTTTACCTTTTCTGATAGTTTCTTTAGCAGTTTAGTATTGAGATGTTTTCAAGCTTACTAATTTGACCTTCCATTGTTTCAAGTGTATTTCTTTGCTCTTTCAATGTATTATCTTTTTCTGAAATATATAATTCTGAATCTTTATTTGCTGCTGTTGTGTTTCTAATTTTTTTGTCAACTTGTTTTTGAAGCATTTTTCTGAATTTGTCTAAGGTTTTGTCTGTTTTCCATGCTTTCCTCTGCAGCTTTCTTGATCTTTCTCTCAATCTGATGATGGTCCCTAAATATCAGAAATATCGAATTCCTTACCAGGTAATTTGAACATCACTTATTCCTCAGAAAGGTCTTCGGGTTTTGTATTTTGGTCACATGTTTGAACCACTCTATCTTGTTTCTTCTCCCACTGCAGTCTCCAGACATTTGTTTTTAAGTAACGATTGTATGTCAGTGAATTCTTACGCACACCTGGTGGGTGTGATAGATTATGAGTGTGTGCTTAGTTCACTGTTTGATGTGTGTGCTTTATTTTGCTTGTGCTTGGTTCACTGTGTAGCACAGATGAGGGTGGGTTTGGCTAGTGCTTGCTGCTACTGATGATCAGGTGGTATAGGACCAGGCAGTGATCTTCACCAAGTCAGTGGGGATGCAGGAGCACATAGGTGGGCTATGTGGGAAAGGTTGTTTTCTATCAGGTAGGACAGAAAAACTAAAGATAAAAAGAGGTGGGGGAAAACCCAAGATAATCAACAACAAAATAATGGAAAAAAGGAAGATGTAAAACAATTAGGACAAAGCAGCAAACTAAGAAAAAGAAATTAACTGAAAAGAAAACAATTGGAAAGGGAAATTAGAAGAGAAAAAATTCAATCAAGAAATAAAGGGAAAAAAAGGATAACAAAGAAATGAATAATGAAAGCAGAGAAAGGATAAAACACAAGAGGAAGAAGGAAAAATGAAAACAAAACTAAGAAAGGAGAAAATTGTGGGAGGACACTTGGTGAAAGCTGCCACCCTCTGCCAGCCAAGGAGTTCACAGAATGTGGGGAAGGAGCTGGAGTGGGAGTTTCTGCAGGTTGAAGTGTGGCCCAGTGTCAGAGCACCTGGTTTGGAAGTGGTTGGAGCCCACAAAAATGGTGGATGGTTCAGGAGCTTCTTTTTTTAAAAAAAAAAAATCATTTTATTAGGGGTGCATACAACTCTTATCACAATCAGTTGTGTAAAGCACATTTGTACATTCATTGCCCTCATCATTCTCAAAACATTTGTTTTCCACCGAAGCCCCTGGCATCAGCCTTTTTCCCCTCCCTCATGAGCCCTTGATAATTTATAAATTATTTTGTCATATCTTGCACTGTCCGACGTCTCCCTTCACCCACTTTCTGTTGTCCGTTCCCCAGGGAGGAGCTTATTCTTGAAAGGAATTATTTTGGGTCAGAGGGCAGCTGTGGGCAGCAAGGCTGGTTGTAAAAGTTCTTGCTAGTCCCAGGGTAGCCAGAAACTTGGTACTTTGTTCTGCTGGTCTAATAAGGTGGAGTTCATTCACATCTAGACTCTGGGACTGTAAACCTGGCACCCGATTCATGAGGCTACAGGTCTAACCTCAGGCAAAGCAGGGGTTGGTAAGGCTGGGTTCTGGACACACTTCTGATCACTAGGAAGGTGTGAGAAATGAGGAAGGACTCCATCTTTCTTGTCATCATCCACTGATGTGTGAAGGTGCTATCTTGACCTATTACTGCTTGCAAAAGTTAGATGGCTAAGCCCCATCTGGCCAGCCAGCAAATCACTCATCTGTCTCCTCGTACTGCTTTTGTTCAGCTTTAAGTCAGTATTCAATCTACTTCTTGTCAGTCTAATTCATTTAATTTTTATCTTTTTTGGTAGACGGACTGAGTCGTGTTGCCATCTTGCTGCTCATTTAAATTGTTTAGCCTCAGCTGGCACTTCACAGCACTGTTAAGTCAACCTATAAAGAATCTGGTGATGCGCTACTTAACATACTGTCACTCCACAGGAAGTTCCTCCAAGTACCAAGTTTCTGCTTGAACTTATGGGTAGCAATTGAGCTCTTAATCGTGCTTCCAGAGCTTTTCCCTGTAGTGACTAATGTAAGAAATGCTATGGGATGACGTTATTCTCTTTTATAGGATGGCACACAATAAGCAAACCAGTAATTCTGTCTCTAGTCAACTACATTTCTCAAAGTGCAAGGTAGCTTATGAAAATGCTTTATCACATTTCCTGAATTACATCCTAGATGACCCCATCTGATACTTCAAGTTGTCAGCAGACATTAACTCCTTCCATTTTTTCAGGCAGACCAATGCTCTGTATGAGAACTGTGGCTTTCCAACATCCCACCCTCCTCATCCTGATCTTTTGCTTAGTCTCCCTCCCTTTTCTCTATATTTCACCTAGACTTCTCTGGTTCGCAAATGGCCCCTGGATTTGTACCTCTCGGAATAATCTCTAGGATCTTAACTAAAATGGCAAAGTTCCGATTCTGGAATGCATCAGAATTCATGTCTGAACCATTTCTCTTCTCTACATTCTCTTGGTAGTCTAATCTTATGATTTCAAATCTACTATACACTTCTAATGACTTCATCTTTCTCAACATATATCTAGCTAAAAAAAAATCAATCAACAGGTTAAGGGGTTAATTTTTAATGTATGCATAATTATAGGATACTTTTGGGAGTGACAGACATGTTTACCATCTTGATTTTGGTGGTCTTTATAGATTTATCTGTTATTCAGTGCCGCTATAACAAATGGATGCCTTTAAAGAACAGAATATTTCTCATAATTCAAGAAGCTATAAAAGTCCAAATCAGTGTTTTAGTGTTAATTCCTGCTATGAGCCTCAACCGTTTTTGGAGTTTGCTGTTGATACACAGCATTTCCGTTTACTGACATCATTTTTTGTTGAGTTCTCATTAGAATCACCCTCAAAGTACCCAACAATCTCTTCAAGGTAGAGTTGGCCTTTACTATCAAGAATAGCAAAACTCCTTAGTTGCAAAAGCAGTTCCACTCAGAGGAAAGATTTAATGTGGCTCCTCTTTTGAGTCTGAGCAAGAGAACAAGAGAATGGGGAAGTTACTAATTAAGCTTCATTTGTGATTGCCAACCTTATTACTGTCAAGTGGAGGCTATTCTCTGAACCCTAAGATCTCTGCACAGTAAACATCCTTGAGTGGCAGGGATCAGCAGGACCGGAACAAAGCCAATTCCCAGCACAGAGCAAGCAGTAGCCTTTGGGCAGGTCAGTTTGATTTGTTTCAAGCACTAACTGGGAGTGGTGGACTTGCTGATCCTTGAAGCTAGAGCTGAGTGGAATGTCTGAGTAGATGCAACCCTTAAACGGCTAATATTGCTCCCTGGGATGCCCCACAAAATTTGGGCACCTCTCTCTATATATATTCTAATCATTTTATTAGGGGCTCATACAACTCTTATGGGTACCTATATTTTATTCTGGATCATGGGCTATGTTTCCAAGAGAATTCTTTAATATATCTCGAATAAACCACTTCCTATTTTTCACCTGAATTATAACCTGTAACTTCCTTAAAGAACCCCATAATTGTAAATGGGTTTTTGCATGGTCATTACTATGAATTATGGAACCCAGAAATAGTGGTATATGAAAGAAAACACATGGATAACCACCACTCAAATTACTCAACGATTAAAAAAACCACTTTAATCAATGCTTCTAATTATAGTACTGTATACTAAAATTTTTTCATTAATCCCAAGTGGTGTTGTTAAACAAGAGAAATGAAATTTGTGCTGTTAAGTAACACTAGGAGGGTGTGAGTTTAAGGAACAGACCTTTTTGAGGAGGCATCTGATTCCAGGAAAGTCATTTCTGGTCTCAACAGGTTCCTACTTATAGCCCATATACAACAGAAACACATTTATGGAAATCCTCACATCTGCACCTTCCCATTATCCAAGAGCAGTTCTCTCCTATAGGGTTTAAGTGAAATCACTCCTTAACAGGCAGGATTGCTGCACATAAGCAAACAAGCTGGACTAGTTAGATGGAGAAATGAGAAGAGCTTCTAGGCAGTGACAATTTGAATACTGGGGGAAAGAGCTCAACCTTGAAAAATGACTGAGAAAAGACTATCCTGGAGGCTTGGTGGCACAAGAGGATGGGACTCTAACAACGGCTGTTTTAAGCGCAGAAAGGCATACACAATGCCAATGTGACTATGGTCCTACAGGGTAAAGGGGTGCTTTGCCAGAAGTTTTCACAGCAGCCATGTTTATGAAAGCAGTCTGCCTGGCTGACTTGTTGGTCAGCAGAGCTTTGTATTGTACCAACTGGCACCAACATTAAGTTTTCACATAGGTTTGGTCAACAAGAATTGACACATTCAGCTGATGTTACACTACAGATGTACTTATTACCACAGCATTAGGATTGTCCTTTCAACAAATGAAGTGGACATAAACAAGGCTACAAGGAAGAGGGCATACAAAAACCATCAGGGACAGAAACTTCCAAAGCATTTCTCAACCTTGCCCTTTTTGTCAGTGACTTGGCAGCTATTAAGAGGGCAGTTTTGTACTTTGAAAAAGTAAGCCTCTATCTCACAAGTTATGTCTAATTAACTCTAGATACAGGGCATATTAATTGCTATAATTTACAGGGCCAGCAGTTTGAAACCAACTGCTCGTTGGGAGAAAGATGGGCACTTTCTACTCCTGTTTAGAGTTAAGTCTTGGAGACCACAGGACAGCAGTTCCAGCCCCATAGGTTCTTTGAGTTGGTTATCTGCTCAATGGCCGAGTGACTGGATTCAGGAGGAAGAGATTAAGAACCCATGTTTAAAGACACAACTGCACAGTCTATTCACACCTTAAAATGCTGTCCTATCCTACAAAGTTGGGTAAGAAAAATCACCAAGAGCCTTAGAGGAAAAAATCAGATTTATTGAATCCTCTCATACAGGTATATATTACACCTATAATAATCAAGTCTACAATCACAATGCACATTTAAAATCCAGATCACGAAAAATCATGCATACGGGGGAAAAACCCCAAATCTATTTGATGATAGCTTGTGGCTTCAGGTAGTATGACATGACCACATAAAATAACAGGGTTTGTAACACCTAGCCAAAAAAAAAATTTGATGTTGCTCTAAAAGCTTTTTTTTCTTGAGCTTTACACCACCAGCTTTTCACATGAAACCTCCTGGACTCTTCCTAGAGAAAAGGAGAGAGATCTGTATTAACATTAGTTAGGTCCTTCAAACTGAAACTGAAGTACTAGAGTCCATATCTCAGAAGCCAGATCCGTATGAACTCTTTTTCAACAGCTTATTCAGGTTCGGGATAGGATCATCATAGATAAGACCCAGAAAACAGTAACGACGTACTCCCTACAAAAGACCAGAACTTACAGTTAATTCCTCGGTTAGCAACATCCCGGAAACTGGCCTCTTTTCGTTCAATGGCTAGACAGCGACCTCACTGTTGGGAGAGAAGAAAAAACCAAAAAACCCATGAGCCAGTACTTTCTCCTAGACTGCTACAAGGAGACAGCCCAATCAGGTACACAAGGCAAACAAAAAATTGGCCTTATCTCAGAAGCCGAATCCGTATATACACTTATCTTCAGGTAATCAGCTTCGGGATATGCTTCATCATTGATCAGACCAATCATGGGTGTTTAAGATCAGAGCACAAAACTTACATGAAAGAAACCCAACAGAAGCCTTTATTCACTTTCATGAACCCCCAAGACACAAAGTATTTCATGTACCTTACATGAGTTAAGCATGGGTGTAGAAAACCCATCTTCCCCTACTTAGTGAGATGGGTGGCTTTAGTTTGGAGCCCAAATCAAAACCCATTACACCACCGGGCACTTACCAATCATAAATTAGGTTGAACACATACCTGGATGATCAGTTTTTAAATAAGCATTTTTCTGGTAAATACTTTTCCTGAGGCTTTGGCATTTTCTTTTGCATCTATAAATGGGAGCAAATGGTTTAAATTAATCACTTCCGTTCCTGGAAATATGCTTCTTCAATTTGCTTAAGTCTACCAATAGCCAATGAGATTTTACCTTGTTATCTCCACACCATAGCTTCGATATGACAATCGGAGACACTGCCATTGTTCCTACAGGAGTTTGAAAGATTAAGGCTATTTATGGAATGCCACATTTCAAGATTTTATGCATTAAAACTTTCCCCACCCTTAATCCAAATTACACAAAAGGCCACTTGGGGACACAATGTTAGTATTCCAGTATAACCATTTGATTTGGCAAAGGCGAGATGGTATTCGCCAGTGTAATGTGCCTCTCCAGAGACCTCTTAGGAAACCTGGCGATCGGCCTCCAAAAGGCCTTGAAAACCCTACAAAATATTATCTACTCTGCACGCGTGAGGTAGCTTTGAGTCCACACGGAGCTGCTGGCAAATAGTCGCTAAGGGACGGCTGAGCTAGCAGCCGCTCCCCGCTCCCACGACGCGCTTGACTTTACCAGAGGCCTACTCAAGCCTAGGCCTGTAAAGCTACTGCGATTCAACGTCACGACCGCGCATTGATCGTATCTACAAGCCCGCTCTATGAAATACAGTATTTCACGCTCAAATCCCTGAACCAGCCACACAGCTCCGCAGCCTTATTTATCCCGCACAACCCAGACTCGGTCTCTCCGCTTTCCGCCGCGAGCGGTACTCACCAGCTACCTAGCTACAAGTCCGGACGTAAAAGACCGAGCTGCGCGTCCTGCAGTCCCTTATATAACCTTCCTAGGGTCAGAACGAGGCTGCCCCTCCGTCTCGTTTCTATTGGCCACGGGAAACGCCGGGGGGCGGCGACGACTCTAAAGACAAACGTGCGGGAGCGCGCGCGGCGGCTTTTTTTCGCCCGTCCCGGCGGCGCGCCGCAGTTCCGGGGCGTGGTGTGCGCGCCGCCGGCCCGCCCGCCCATTCCCAGGGACGCAGCCACTCGTCGCTTCCGGGACGGGAGAGTGCCCGGTCCTTACGTGGCGCGGGAGTGGCGCCAGAATTCGAACCGCGAAGTAGGAGGTGGTGCTGCAGCCTGCGCCGATTCGCGTCTTCTCGGTGCTGGGCGGCCTCGTGTATGACCCCCTTGAAAATCACCCAGCTGACTGGCTGCAGCCATTGAAACTGGCAGCAAAGGTGCTTTTTGAAAAATGTGTAAAAGGCCTGCGTTTATTCTAAGCTCAACAGCCGGGCCGGGGCAGCTGCTTTTCAGCACTGCTTATGCCCGGGCCCGACCGCCTTGCTGGCAGGTAGGTTTCGCTGATGCTTACCCGGCGCCCGTTTTCTGACCATGTTTGGGACTCCAATGAATGACAGCCACTATAATGTTTTGATCATTTGAAAAAGTCTTTATTTGGTTATAACCGGACTGCTAAAATAAAACAGTGATTCTTTGATTACAGTGCTGAGTGGACATTTCAGTCCATCTTTAAAGAGAAAAAAATCATTTATCATTTTTCTAGGACTTAAGCAAAAATGGACAGAAACAGAAAGCAAAAATAATATTATTAGTCTTTAGAGTTAGTGAATATTATAGGGTACAGCATTTATTGTGATATTTGGCTAATAAAATAGTAATATCCTGGTTGCAACATCAAAAGTAACAATATTATTAATTACAATGTTCTGATCGCAAAACATGAGTATGGGAGAGAGACAGGTCATTCAGCAGTCAGTATGATGGCATTACAGTGACTAGTGCTAGTCTGTCTGAATAGTTCTTGTGCCACCCCAACATCCGATCCAGTTTTTGGCCAGACAGCAAATCTGGCAGGTAAAACTTTCATTTGGCAGAGGAGAAAATAGGTCTAAAGTCACATAACTGGAAAACTTTGCTATATTTAATTTCTTTGTACTAAATTAGTTATAGTGAGTACATGAGAGATTAATTTGAGAAGTATCCCGGAATACTTTATTGAAATGACATTCAAAAGGAACTGTTGTCTTAATGGGTATATGAGAATGAGCATGTGCATGTACACACACACACACAAACAAAACCTTTCAACACTAGAGCATTCAGATCTCAACTTAGTTTTTGTTTGAACCGAACTTTTGTCACGTCATTAAAGAATCCAAGTCTGCTTCAGTTTTACTTTTCCCCCTTTCGTAGCCCCTCAGACCAATGTTCGGATCTGAGGGTAATGAATCCGGAGGGTTTTTAAGGCTGCGACTTTTCTCATCTTTAAAAATTTGTTAAACTTTCCTTATTTTGGCACATACTTCCCCTTTTGTTTGTGAAATATAAGAGTAGCAAAGAAATGCATTCGATGTAATGGCACAGTCCTTCTCAGCAGCTCAGTGTTTTAATGTTTCCTTCCCCCACTATCATGACCCTAATTCTACCTTATACATCTGGATAGATCAGAGCATGTACACTGGTACAGATAAGAGCTCGCAACACAGGGAATCCAGGACAGATAAACCCCTCCGGACCAATAATGAGAGTAGCAATATCAGTAGTGTGGGGGGAGAAAGGGAGAACTGATCACAATGATGGACATATAACCCTCTTCCATGGGGACAGGCAACAGAAAGTGGGTGAAGGGAGACAGCGGTCGGTATAAGACATGGAAAAAAAATTATACATAGCAAGGATTCATGAGGGAGGGAGGGGGTGAGGGGGGAAAATGAGCTGATACTAAGGGCTCAAGTAGAAAGAAAGTGTCTTGTAAATGATGATGGCAACATATGTCCAAATGTGCTTGTCACAATGGGTGTATGTATGGATTGTGATGAGAGCTGTAAGAGCCCCCAGTAAAAGGCTTTTTAAAAAATAAATTAATTTAAAAAATTAAGTTTTCAATGATTTTGTACCAATACTTCCTGACATACCCTCATACATAAAATTTTAAATACACAAATAGCATCTACATGTTCAACTAACTTCCCCTTTTCCTTATAAATATCATAGACATTTTTATATTAGTATATATACAAGACCTTATTATTATTATTTTTTTACAAAAGGAGTCCTGGTAGTGCAATCAGTAACTAAAAAATTGGAAGTTCAAACCCACCAAGTGGCTCTGGGAGAAAAACCTGGAAATCTACTTCCATGATTGCAGTCAAGAAAATCCGCAATGTATGTAAACACGTGGAGAAATGCATGAAAAGACTGGGCTCAGGGCCGGCCCCAATCAGAGCCAAATTGACCCCCTCCGTTGACATAAGGACAACACCAAACCTACAGGTTGGAGAGGGACTAGCATGCCATGCCCGCATGGAAGCAAACCAAGAACGAAAAAGAGAGAGACTGTCTAGACGCCATATTCACACACCGAGCCTGGAGTCTGACTGGCCTGCCCAGAGCTGCTAAAGCACAGAGAGGACTGTAGGGCTGACAACAGCTCAAGGCATGTCCCCTCACTGGGGCACACCGAGACAGGACAATACTGGGGACACAGGGTGCGGAGTTAACTCAGTCTGAATCGCCCTGCAGCAGGGCAACCAAGAAAGGAACAGAACAGCACCGGCAGCAAAGAAAAGACACAAAACCCCTGAAGAGTCCCAACAATAGACTTCAGGCTAGGAGGGGCAGCTCCCAGAATTCCTCCAGGACCAGTGGGGAGACAGTCAGGTGACAGGGACAGACCTCGAATTATGTATTTTTCTGTGTTTGTTTTTTTATTGCTTTTTTCAAATTTTTGTTTTTATTTGGTCTCATTGTTGGTTGCCTACTTATATAAGCTAGGCATGGGAAGCAAGCTTGAGGAGAAAGCTATGGGACCGGTGACTGTCGATCACAGAGGGACTGGGGGGAGAAGGAGGTGAGCAACATCAATCTAGCATGATGGTGGGGCAGGAGGAGGTGAAAGGAAACAGGAACAATCTAGGAAGCAAGATATGGATAGCGTATAAGCATAGGTATGTACATATGTTAATACATTAATTCATAAAAATAGAGGTATTGGCCTATATACATATATTTATATGGAAATACACTGAGGTAGTGGACAGACTTTGGGCCTCTGCTCATGGCCTTTTGCTCTAAAAACCTGGCATTCTGTGATGCTCACCCAGCACAATTGCAGAAGACATCTGTTCCCCCTTTCTCCCTCATCTTCCCTCAACCCTTCCGCCATTGCCACCCTCTCCACTGGTCCTGGGGGGTTCATCTGTCCTGGGCTCACTGTATTTCCAGTTTTTATCTGTGCCAGTACACATCCTCCGGTCCAGCTGGATATGCAAGGCAGAATTGGGATCATGGTAGTTGGGGGGAGGAAGCATTTAAGAACTAGAGGAAAATTTCACATTTCATTGTTACTACACTGCACTCTGATTTGCTCCTCTCCTCCCCGCAGTCTTTCTGCAAGGGGATGTCCAATTTCCCCCAGATAGGCCCTGGGTCCCCACTCTGCACTCCCCCTCATTCACAATGTTATGATTTTTTAATTTATTTTTTGGTCTTTGATGCCTGATACCTGACCCCTTTGCCGCCTTGTCTTACAGGCTGGTATGCTTCTTCCATGTGGGCTTTGTTGACGAGAGCTATTATTTTCTTTGTTCTCTTTGAACCAAAGTTTGCTGTGCTGAAGACCAACGATCAAAATCACCTGATTAAAAGGCATATAAAGAAATTATTCCTCTAGGGTGATGGGGAACAGGGCACTAATACACCTATAGGGAGAATATTGCTTATGTTTCCACAGGAAAGGGAGAGGGACCAGACCCCGTCCCAGAGCACCAAGCCGTGAGGGCAATACACTGGCATGGAACTGGGCCCAAGCTGAGCTACATTAACCCTCTCCCCTGAAGGCAATACAGAGGACAACACTGAAGGTATAGCTCAGGGAGAGTGGTGGGTCTGTCTAGACCACACGGGAGAGAATTAAGAGGGCGGGAGAAAGAGAGAGAGAGAGAACCTCATCATGGTCCACCAAGCCCCAGGCACGACATTCCTACTCAGAACCCCAGGGATGACATGCGTGCTCAGAACAGCTATTGCATCCCTCACGGACCCATCGTGCTATGGGGGACAGCACTGAGGACACTGCGGACAGCGGGAGAAACACGAAGGGAGTGCAGCAGGGCAGCAAGGGAAGCAAAGTAACGAAGTCCCCAAGGAATCCTGAAAAGAGACTTCTGACTTGGGGGATCAAGTCATCAGACTTGATTGGAAAACGTACATAAGGGTCAGCAGGCAGACCTGGAACTATCTATTGTCTTTTTCTCCTGTTCGGCTTTGTTTTGTTTGTTTTATTAGGTTTTGTTTTTTGTTTTTGCTTTTCTCTTTTTTTCATCCCATGTCTATCTACATAAGATGGGCAGGATAAACAATCCTGAGGAGAAAATTTAGGGACTGGTGTTTCGGGGGGATGTGGGAGAGGAGGGGACGGGGAAGGGGGGTGGGGAGCCAACAAACTCAGAGATAAGGGAACAACAAGAGTTCTAAAACTGAGAGTGAGGAAGGCGTATAATGCCGGGTAGAGCTTGATGGAGAGCAATGTATCTGAGAGGAAATACTGAGTGCCGAATGGAGGGTGAGCATGATAGTGCGATGGAAAGGTGAAAGGAAATAGAGGAAAGAAAGAGGAGGCAAAAGCTATTTATAGAGGTATAGCTATAGGCATGTATATGTGTAAATATATTAATTTATAATAAATGGGATAGAGGCCAATGTACATATATTTATATGATAAGTATTAAGATAGCAGATGGACTTTGTGTCTCTACTTAAAGCCTCCCTTAACACAAGAACACTT